TGATAGGTCTATTTGTAGATTTTCAAGGAACCTCTATATTGTTTTCCATAGTTCCTGTACCAATTTACATTCCCACCAGCAGTGTGGGATGTTCCCCTTTCACACAGGTTCACCAACACTTGTCAATCTTTATTTTCTTGATCAAAACCATTCTTACTGGGGTTAAGTAGTATCTCCTTGTGGTTTTGATTTGCATTTCCCTTAAGATAATAGATGTGGAACATCTTTTTTTCATATGCATTTTGACCATTCATGTGTCTTCCTTAGGGAGTTGTCTGTTAGACTGATTTGCCCATTTTTAAATTGGATTATCTGTTTCATCACAGGTGAGTTCCCTACATATTGAGTTCCCTGTATATTCTGATTATCAGTCCCCTATCTGAAGCATAGCTTGCAAATATTTTCTCCAATTTTTGAGGATTGTCTCTTCATTCTAATAATTGTTGCTTTTTAACTTAGTGTAATCTCACTTGTGTGGTTTTGGAATTGTTGCTTATACTTTAGGTGTCTTATTTAAGACATTTTTGCCTTCTACAGTGTCTTCAAGTGCTCCACCTGTGTTTTCCACAAGTAGTTTCATGGTTTGAGGCCTTACACTTAGATCTTTGTTCCATTTTTAGTTGATTTTTGTTAATGGTGAGAGATAGATGTTCAGTTTCATTTTACTCCAGGTGGATATCCAGTTCTTCCAGTGCCATTTTCTAGAGACTTTTTTCCCCCATTGGAATGTTTTGTGCCTTTTGTCAAAACTCAGTTCATTGTATGTTGTGAGGTTTACTTCTGGATTCTGTTCCATTGGTCTCCCTCTCTATTTCTGTGCCAGTACCATGCTGTTTTGATTATCACAGCTTTGCAGTATACTTTGAGGTCAGGTAGGGAGATGTTTCCTCCTTTATTTTTTTGCACAGGGCCTTTTATGATTCCAGAAAAATTTTTCTTTTTCTCCACAACAAGGAAAATTGAGATCCTGTCATTTGATACAAAATGAATGGATATAGACTATAAAAGATACTATATATCATTGCTCATTTCTGCATTCCATAGAAGAAATTGGAAAATCCAGATACAATAGTAAGGAGGACAAGTGTGGATATCAGAGACTATGAGTGGGGAATGGTTAGTAGAGGGTGGGTGGAAGAGGATCAGGGAGGGAATACTTTATTAGACATAAGAATATAAAATTTTCCACTAAAAATGATATTTATGATAATGTCTTTGATTTGATTGTCACATACTGCTTGCACACTCTGAAAAACTTCATTGTGTACTATATAGATATATGACAAATATATGTAAATAAGAAATAATAAAATAAAATTTCTAAAAATTTGTGTTGAGGGGAAAGCAGATGGTATAGCAGTTATGTCATTGGACTCCCACATGGCTAAGTGCAGTTTAAATATTGTACCTGGTGGCTTAAAACTCACACCGGGCACATGAGCATGTGGGCCTAAGATCTTGGGAAGAGAATGGAAGAGAAGGGATTGCAGTGTGGCCACCTTCCCACTTGGGGGGGAGGGTGATTTCTCACTTTCCTTTTCACTGTTTCTCTCCCTGGCAACTGCATGCACCCTAGGGCAAAATCGTCTACAAAAGAAAAAACAATGTGTGTTGAAGATAAAAGGTTAACTTCCTAATAGTACCAATCTATTAGGTCATCAGGAAAGTCATGACATGTCTTTCTAAACAAAAATGCATCATGACTTTCCTGATGACCCAATAGTTTAATCAGACTAATTTTATAATTAATGTTAATGATTAGAAAACAGAGCTTAACAAAAAGTTTTTAATAACATCTGGGATTTAGACTCTGAGTTAATATAGTCATCTATTTTGAAACTAAGACTTAATGGCATATAGCTTACTACCATCTTGAGGGCCTAACATAAATATATCTTTGTATGCTGTATTTAGGATAGAAAATAAATGTGTTTTAATTTAAGCACAGTAAGGAAATATAATAAATACCCTAAATATGTGGAATTAGTTCTAAAACTAATTGTATACATATTATTAGCTTCCCTCATTAAGAAGAAGGATCCTGGGCTCTGTAATTACCAGCTTGAATATTTAGAAATTCTATAAGAGAGCACCAACATATTTGTAAATATTTTCTTTGACAAATTAAAAATATGATTAAGGGCCCAGCTTGAGAACTGGTGTTAAGGTATCTGGATCCCGCATGGTTTACTACACCATTCAAAAGTGGACCTGATGTCTTGAAAAATATGCAGGGCAAGTATATGTGTATGTCCAAAATTCTGAAAAGACAGAGAGGTGAATGACAAGAGATTGTTGTATAACTGCCTGCTCCCCCTGGGGGGTGCCTTGCTTTCTCGCTTTCTCTATCTCCCTGTCAGTACATGTGCCCTCTGGAAAATTAAATAACTAATTTATTAATTAAATGAAAATATGATTAAAGTAATATCAGTTACTACTTTCAACAGATACTACAAACCTACTAGATTTCTATGCTTATAAAGTATGGATGCCTGCATTTGAGAAGACTTTCCCTATATGTATTTAAGTCCCCTATAGCCCTTTATATATGAAATTTGTGAAGCAATGATATAAGTATTTCAAATATCAATACTTATTTGGCATTCAATAATGATTACTTAGAACACTATTAGCAGTAAGACTCTTTTCTGTTTACAACTCCACTGTGCAATTTGAAGAAAAAATCATTAGTGTTTAAACATCCTCTTGAAACAATGTATTTAAATATGATAAACATATTATTTAAGTTTCATTCACTGTGGTTTAACAGTCATTTTATTATAGAAGTTTCTAAGACTCAAGCCCTAAAATCTAGAATATATTATAAAACCGGAAGTCAGAAGAATTGAACCTAAATTCCAGAAGTGTTTTGTTATTTGTTTAAAAAATAAAGTCGACAGATCAATTCTTTTTGTCCTGTCTTTCTCAACCATGAAGAAAGGCCTGGGCCAGTCTTTGGCATCACAGGTAAGGTGGGTAGATGGCATATGACCAACTGCGTGGTTCAAATCCCAGACTGATGACTTGAAAAACATGCCAGGGCTGTGTGCGTTGGGGGCAGTGGGGGGACAGAGGAGGTTGTTGCTCAAAATCCTGAAAGGCAGGAGAAATGGAAGAGAAGGGATTGCAGTGTGACCATCCCCATTGGGGGCTGCTTTCTTACCTCTACTCTCTTATTATCTATCTGTCTCTCTATGGCAAGTGCATGTGCCCTCCAACCAAAATTTTTAAAAAGAGTCATTTGGTCTATTTTAGTAATTTTTACTTTTCAGGAGCAGAAGTCTCTTGTCATACCAAATCTTACAAAATGTTTAAGATAAATAATGAGGTGAGAGGGAGGGAATTGGCAAGAAAAACAAGAAATGAAATATGTAATGGGTACAAAAATAGAAAATTATGGGGAACCAGCAGTTAGCATAATGGCTATGTCGCTGGACTCCCACGTAGTCGACCGTGGTTCACGTCCTGGACCCGGTGGCTTAAAACTCACGCCGGGCACGTGTGTGTGTGTGCCCAAGATCCCGAGAGGAGAATGGAGGAGAAGGGATTGCGGTGTGACCATTCCCTCTGGGGGGTAATTTCTTGCTTTCTGTCTCTATGTCTCTCTCTGTCTGTCTGGCGAGCACACACGCCCTATAGCGAAAACCTCTCCAAAAATAAATAAATAAATAAATAAATATGGAAAATTATTTGCTAATTACAATGTGTTTAGTATATCTTTGACTGGACTAATATGCAGTGTATTCATGGTGGAATAATTAATTTTGTATGCTGTAAAGATGTACAGTGATTACAAATGTTAAAAAATAACACAAGAAATACTTATAAACTTTGTAGGCAATAAAAGTTAAAAAGAATAAAAAAAATAATATCAATAGAGCTTCTTTTATAGAAGCAGCAGTGAGGGAAGAGGGCATCGGCGTGGTTTGAGGGAGCCCTACAGCCACACCCTACATGTTGACCCTTACCTTCCCACATGACCTGCTGAAGATAATCTAGCATCATCAAATAATTCCTCAAATTTTTGGAAAATCATGTAATTATAAGCTCTTAAAATTTCTTCATAATTCTGAAATATGATTCTCAATTTTATAAATTAGAATTTGTCTTTTTAAAATTTGAGAATCATAAAGGCTACCTTGTAAAAACTGTATGCAAATATGAGGTTTCAACCTATTCTAAGAAGGGGTCTAAGGCAAAAAGCCTATATTTTATACTAAACCATAGCTTACATTTCCCATAAAACATTTTTTAATACCAAATAGTTCATATTTAGAAATGAATAAATTGATAAACCCCAAATAACCCCTCAATGTTCAGAACATTCCTGTTAGATTTAAATTTCCTCACCCATCTCTATACTAAGAAAATGATAAAAATAAAATTTTTAGCAAATTTAGGTAGTATGGGCTTAAAATAAAGATTTTATCTATTCCCCAGCTTTGGTTATCAGATAGTCAACACTTTAAATTCTGTCAGCACTCACAGCATGAACTATTAGATCCTTGCAGTCATAGTCTATAACAATAAAAAAATGAGGTAGAGGAAGCATGTTCTACAATAGTTAATTGCCCAGGAAAAGAAAAGCCTTCAGGAGAAGTTCTTCACAAGGGGCCATTTTCTTTGCCAGCTATTTAAATGGATTTGATGGTTGTGAGGCAGGAGTAATGGGTTTTCACTGTGACTAATTTCTGATGCCCTTTCTGAGCAAGAATTTGTACCTACCTAAAATAAAGAAAATGAATAAAAGCAAACTTTTAGTAATCCCAAAAGGATCCAAAGTGAAATTGTCTCAGCAGTTACCGTATATAGATTCTGTGACACAGTTCCCCTTTCGCAAAAATACTTAGTGCAGATCATTACTTTCCTACAGACCTGTACAGAGACCTACTTTATAACACTTCAGGGGAGTTAATGTACTAGGTCTTGAAAGTCTTTCTGGAACATGAAGTAGCTCGCAGTTTTCTTGTGTAGCACTTAACTTTTGTGTTGTCTTGCAGGTCCATGGGGTCGATGCATGGGAGACGCATGTGGTCCAGGAGGCATCCAGACCAGGGCTGTGTGGTGCGCTCACGCGGAAGGCTGGACGACACTGCACACGAACTGTAAGCAGGCCGAGAGGCCCAGTAACCAGCAACAGTGTTTCAAAGTTTGTGACTGGCACAAAGAGTTGTACGACTGGAGGCTGGGACCCTGGAATCAGTGTCAGCCGGTGATTTCAAAAAGCCTAGAGAAACCCCTGGAGTGTGTTAAGGGCGAAGAAGGCATTCAGGTCAGGGAGATAACGTGCATCCAGAAAGACAAAGACATACCTGCAGAGGATATCATCTGTGAGTACTTCGAGCCCAAGCCTCTCCTGGAACAGGCTTGCCTCATTCCTTGCCAGCAAGATTGCATCGTCTCTGAGTTTTCCACGTGGTCAGAATGCTCCAAGACCTGTGGCAGCGGGCTCCAGCACCGCACACGTCACGTCGTGGCACCGCCCCAGTTCGGAGGTTCTGGCTGTCCAAACCTGACCGAGTTCCAGGTGTGCCAATCCAGTCCATGCGAAGCGGAAGAGAGCATGTACAGCCTGCAAGTGGGGCCCTGGAGCGCGTGCGCAATGCCACACTCGCGCCAAGCGAGACAGGCGCGGAGACGCGGGAAGAATAAAGAGCGGGATAAGGACCGCAAAGGAGTGAAGGACCCCGAGGCCCGTGAACTTATTAAGAAAAAAAGAAATAGAAACAGACAAAACAGACAGGAGAACAAATACTGGGACATCCAAATCGGATATCAAACCAGGGAGGTCATGTGCATTAACAAGACGGGGAAAGCTGCTGATTTAAGGTAGTGTCTTTTTACACTGATTACATCTGTCTGTCACAGCACGCGTACTGGAGACTTATACTAACTCCAGCAACACATACTCGCACACCCTAGCATGAGCTGCTCCTCAGGTGTAAGGCTTTTGTAGGTTCTTTGGTAGTGTTTCTACCCTGCTCACGTGTAAGCCCTATCCTACTTGAGTTCATTTAAATGTCCCTTTCAAAGTCTAGAACTTGATCAATTCTCTCTGAGAAGATACTGCTTCTTTAGATCAAAAAGCACTGTTTCCCCCTGTAATGAGACAAAAGAAATTCCTTAGAGGCTGGAGTATTGGGATTTTGAACTCACGTACTTGTTTTAGTGAGTTACTAGAATGAGGCACACTTGGGAACCAGCAGTTGGAGTAAGGCTATGTCGCTGGACTCCCATGTAGGCAACCGCGGTTTGCGTCCCGCACCCGGTGGCTTAAAACTCACACCGGGCACGTGTGCGTGCGTGCGTGACCAAGATCCCTGGAGGAGAAGGGATTGCGGCGTGACCATCCCCCCTGGGGGGTGATTTCTCGCTTTCTGTCTGTATGTCTCTCTTTGTCTGGCGAGCGCACGCACCCTATAGCGAAAAACCTCCCCCCCCCAAAAAAAAAAGATAGAAAAAAAAAATGAGGCACACTTGTAATCTTTGGAAGTTATAGCATTTTCAGAATTAGCCTATAAACAAAATCTGCTCTGAACAACAACCCAGGGAGTTATACCTAAGAATAATTTTCTTGCACATTTTAAAAAATGGAATAACTCTCTCCAGAGAAGAAAATAGGGACCAGCAGAAAATAAGGTAAGTAGAGGATATTTCATCTTGAGTAGCTTAGTTTAGAAAAGCATGTAATTAATTGAAGCAGTTTCTAGAGAAAAATTTTTTGGCAAATTATCTTTGGATGCATAATGACTACGTTCTCATAGATTATCTCATATATGATTTATTTACTGTGAAAAAATATTCATTGAGGATTATCTAAAGGATAATACGTTCTATCCTAAATGTTGTTCTTGGATAAACCAGACCATCTGGGAGTGGCTTATCCAGATCATTTGCATAATTGCTTTTCCTGAAATATTTATGCAATTATGATTTGGACTTAACTGAGAGAACATCACTTAGATTTTATATTGTGTTTATAGTAGAAATGACACTGAGAATGTAGTCTACTCTATCATGCAGTCTGTTCTTTTCATTAACAACATATAGATAAATTTCACTGAAATGTCAACCCATGTGCTTCTTGTGAGCAGCTGGAATATTTTTCCTGTGGCCTCTGGAAATCTTGTAACAGATCACATTTTCTATTTACTTTGCCTCTTGGAAACTTAAATAGGACTATGTAACAGGAATGTGTTTTATTAAAATATCCCACTCTGGCTTTATCATTTTTCTCACCCTCATTATTTTTCCTTCACCCATTTCTAATCTAGTCATTTAGGTAAATATGAATTTTAAAACTTTTTTGAAAAAGAGTAAAGTTTAAATAAAATGAGTAAACAAAAGCAGTTGGTTGAGACAACTTTTTCTCATCATAGCGTTGTTCTGGTTGCTACTCTTAAGATTTTGGCCACTCCCTCTCCTCTTTGTACTCGTTACAATCATGTTTTATTTCAGATGTATGGTAATTGTTCTTTCTCCCTTCTGGTCCCATCACTCCAACTCCCCTTGCTAATGGCTCCATTCTCCTTGTTGTCTGTACCTCAGATTTTGTGTCATATGCATTTTTAATTCAGTCCCTGTTTTGTTCTTTTCTGACTGTTCTTATTATTGATTTCCTGATCTCTTTTCCTGAAATATTACGATATTATATCCATTACTTGGCTCCACAAAGTAATTGAATGAGCCTCCAACGCAACTTGAGTTGTCTCCTACTGTCACTGGGTTAACATGCTGCAACATTTAATTTTATGTTGACTACTCAATTAAACATGTAATTAGAATAATAGCCACTATTGCATAGAGTCCAATATTCCCATTCAACTGTTTGAATTAAGCACATATATCTACAAATGTGCAGATTGTCAGGTTTTTATATCCTGTTAGAAATACCACCTAACTTATTAGAGTACAGAGTAAACTTTATGTTAAATAATTACATTGGTTATTAAAATTTATTTTACATATGAATTATGTATGGTTAAGAAAGTTAAAGTCCTAATGAAAAAGAGACAATATTAGGCATTTTGATCTATATTTTGTTCAAACATTACATTATGTCAGCGAAGCCAATAACGAGAAGAGTAAGTCAACAGCATCACAAAAGCAAAGGGCCAGAAATCAAGGACTTAACAGTTAAATATATATGGTTTCGTCCTCGTCAATTTCTGAAACAATATTTTCACCTAAGAGGATAGAAACCACTTAAGGCCCAGCCATGGTTGGTGTGTGCTGCTAAGATTCTATCCTCTGCAGACTAGGGACCACATGAGATGCCCAGGTTCAATTCCTAATCTAACCCAAAGGCCTGGCTCAGTGGCATGTGTCTCAGTGATTTAGGAGGCAGAGGGAGGAGGATCGCGTGTTTGAGGCTGGCCCAAACAAAATAGTGAGACCTCATCTAATATAAGCTTGAACTCTCTGAGGGGCTAAGTCAATAACAACACCTTAGTATGGTGTGTGTTGGTGGAAAGGACTGCTGAAGCATAATTTTTGTTTGATATTTCTATTTATTTCTTTCATGTGTGTATGTGTGTGAGACATTATTTGACAATCATCTTGTCATACTATGATCCTTTTCCCAGCCTCTCAGCCAGCCAGGATCACAAGTGTACGTGGGTGCACTTGGCATGGTCAGGTCAAGCTAGAATCCAAACCTTGGCCTTCTATCTAGCTCCAGCATTATGCAGTGACCCCTTACTTCCTGCACCACCAGGGCTGAAGCCTTCTTGGGTTCTTTTTGAAACAGAATGGCATGATGAGCAGGACTGAAGAGGGATATCCTCCATGTTATTACTGCCAACAATAGACTATCATTTTGACTGAGGGATTAAAGTTTTGACAACCAGTGAAAGAGAATTGTAAATCCCTACCCATACAACCAACACACAGGAGGCTTCTTTGTGAACCAGAGACTTTCAGCCAGTTTTGAATAAACTCTTACCTAGGCCAAAAGTGGGTATTAAAGTCTACCAAATACTTCTCTGGGAAACCAAAGATATTAAAGGAAACATGATTTTCTTATTCCCAAACAAAAAGCATTTTGATATTCAGAGAAGAGATAAGAAAATAGAATGAGTTTAAAAGTAATCTGGCAAAACTCAGAAAAGAAATGAAAGAGGCAAATATTAGGCATTATAAGAGAATTATAAAACAAGAACAGAAATAAAATTCAGTTACAAGCAACAAAAAGTAGAAAACTATTCGGTAAGAAGAATGAATAATAGAACAGTTTGAGAACATGAAGTAAGTTAATTTTTTAAAGAGATGATGGATATAGAAATAGAGGAGATTTTCAAATGAATTTCTGATGTTGCTGGAAAAATAGGACCAGAAAAAACTAAAACAGAAAAAAAAAATACAAAGTCAAGTTTTTCCTGAAATTAAGACTTTGCCCCACATTGAAATTGCATAAGGCCAATATTTTGCTAGAATAATTTGAAGTAATGACCTGATACAAGAACTGGGATAGCTCAGTTTTTGTACAGACAGTTAGCAAAGATATATAAAACTGAAAGCCAGCATAATGCTTTATTAGGGAACAATAGAAGCATTCCCTTTCCTGTAAAAAATAACATAGTACATTATCTCCATCATTAGTTAAAATTAATCTGTAAGTACTAGTCAATGTAGCCGAAAAGAAAAGGAAGTGGAAATTGGAAAGCAAGTGATAAAATTAAGGTTTTTTCCCCAGATGTTATTATTGTATACTAGAAAACTCAAGGGAATCAATTGAAAATATATTACAAACTATAAAAAAAGTCAATACAGGATACACACAAAGATAATATCCCGCCAACATCAATATATTTCCTAGATATGAACAACACTTTGTTAAATATTATAAAGGAAACATACGATTAAATTATCTAATTCACAAAGGTTTAAAAAAATCACAAAATTCTGTAAACTGGCCTTACTATAAAAGTTCTACACTTAACATTGGACTGTAAAACTAGAAAAGCAGATATTTTGTCTAAAACATTTAGTAAATATATCCCTTGTCCCTACATTGTTATTATAAAATTTACAAGGGAAAAATAAGCCAAGGGAAGCCAGGAAAATACTGAAAAATAATGAGAAAGACTGCAAGGAAATTAAATGCCTTATATTTTATTAGGCTAATAATAGCAATAACAACACTTATGTCAGTGAATGAATAATCAGAACAGAATAGGGCCTAGGAAAAGGTTCCCAAAATCCTGAAGTATTTTGTCTGTGGTAAAAGAGCATATTCACTTTGGGAGAAAGACTTATGGTTATTTCATGAATTTCTTAGTGAACAATTAGTTTTCCATGTGAAGAAAAAGAATTATATCCCTTTGTCACTTGTTATATCAAAACAAGATATGGGTTGATTAAAGATTTATTTTTAGATATACTGGAATATAACATAATTTTTTTCAGTCCTAGAATAAAGATAGCTACTGTCAGGCCACAGAATGCAAAGCTCATACAGAGAAAACCTAGTGTATTTCATTACATTAAAAATTCTGCTTGGACCAACAAGTGGTGTAGTGGTTGTGACCCTAGATTCCCACAAGGCCAACCATGGTTTGAGTCCCAGACCCAGCAGCTTGAAACTCATGCCAGGCATGTGTGCATGCGTGCCCAAAGTCCCAAGAGGAGAATGGAAGAGAAGGAAATGTAGCATAGCCACTCCATCCCCTCTGGGGTGTTTTCTCACTTTCTCTCTCTCTGTCTCTGGCAATCATAAACACCCTATAGCAAAAATTTCTCTAGGAAAAAGACTGCTCAAGAAAATAATACATTATCAACAAAATTAATACTTAAACAGCAAAATGAAAAAATGTAAAATATATCATTGA